AGCTTTGCTATAGCAATAGACAGCTTAAATACACCATAAGTCTTGTTGTATAAAAGTTTGATGAAAGTCTATGGGATTTTAGGTGGTTTTGATAGTCTGGTTTACAAAAACTGTAAGCCGGATCAGTTAGAAAAGATATAGCAACCCGAGTCAGACCAGTCTGAGAGTCTGACCCGAGTTTGGTTGTTGTAGCTTTAAAAGTCTAGGAGGAGATACATTTTAAAATTTGGTCTCAGACTCAGTCTCAGACTCAGAAGACGAAGACTCAGAAGAAGAAGAAGACAAAGACGAAGACGAAGAAGACGTTTTTTCAAGCCAACTTAACAATAATAATAATAATTATTAAAATTATTTATATTGGATTACCTACCTAAAATAACTTGAACTCATCTTAAAATCTTGTTTTATAACCTATAAGCTCTCTTGAACTACATTTAAGTGACTAGGATGTTGCTAGCATGATTAGCAAGTTACTAGCATGTTTCTAACGTGATTAGCAAGTTACTAGCATGTTGTTAGCATGTTTCTATGCTAATCCAGCTAAAACAAGTTGATTCAGTGAAAAACCAGCTAATACCAGCCTGGCCTGCTAAAAAAAGTGGCCAAAACCACTTTAAAACCAGCTTGGGAGACCAGCCAAAGCAGCCAATCAGCTTAGGCTGGTTTTAGCTGTTTTTTTTTCTTCAGTATGAAGTTGTTGAGCTTTGCTATAGCAATAGACAGCTTAAATACACCATAAGTCTTGTTGTATAAAAGTTTGATGAAAGTCTATGGGATTTTAGGTGGTTTTGATAGTCTGGTTTACAAAAACTGTAAGCCGGATCAGTTAGAAAAGATATAGCAACCCGAGTCAGACCAGTCTGAGAGTCTGACCCGAGTTTGGTTGTTGTAGCTTTAAAAGTCTAGGAGGAGATACATTTTAAAATTTGGTCTCAGACTCAGTCTCAGACTCAGAAGACGAAGACTCAGAAGAAGAAGAAGACAAAGACGAAGACAAAGAAGACGTTTTTTCAAGCCAACTTAACAATAATAATAATTATTATTACAATTATTTATATTGGATTACCTACCTAAAATAACTTGAACTCATCTTAAAATCTTGTTTTATACCCTATAAGCTCTCTTGAACTACATTTCCACTAGGCTGGTTTGCTGTACATTCTTTTCACATAAATATCAGATGAAGTAAGACTTAAATCCTCTGTACTTTGATACCAGACTTTAGTTCAGAACATTTTGATCATATATTTGATATATATATTTTTTAAATCAATGAAATACAGCTCACGTACTGGTGATCCTGGTGGTCCAGTGGGTCCTGGGATCCCGTTGAATCCAGGAGGACCCTGCAGACATAAAACACACAGGCTAGCTCTTATAATATTATACCCACCCTTGCTTTTTGTTCTGCATATATTATGCTCACACAGCCGTTTCAATCTGTGCAATCACTGCAGAAGTTATTTGATTGGATGTATTGAGCTTTAAACAAATGTAGTTATAATTTCATGCATTGATTAGCCTGGAGGATATTGCTCTGTAAGCATTCCTCTGGTTTCTCATTCTTTCCTCGTCTGCTTCAGATGAAGATGTTGTAAGTCTTACCCGATCTCCTTTATCACCATGAGTTCCAGGGAATCCAATTGGTCCTCGCTGACCCTGTATGGAAATTTGTTATTATATATTTATTTTTCTTTTCATTACTTGTTTTGTTTATAATGCTTTGCCAATATTGTATGTAAAGACAATCATGCCAATAGAACACTTTAAATTTAAATTTATATTCTTGGTCACAGCTGATACTGAAAACACACCATACTCCATAATGTACGAACAAATAAACACGTTTTCATACATCATCTCCTGGACGTCCAGGAGGACCTGGCTCACCAGCGGCCCCTCGCTCTCCCTGTTAATAAAGAAGAACATGACTATGATTAAAATCTCAGGCGAGCTTGTGTATTGCTGCTTCTTGGTTTTCATCATTATTAAGATTAGAGCAGTCTTACCTTTTCACCTTGGGTACCTGGCACACCGTCCACACCTGGAAGACCTCGATGTCCCTGGCACAGAGATTCAATTTAGTAATACACTCATTCATTAGAGAAGTAGTTGGTGTTTAACCAAAGAAACATTCTTCAGCTAGCAAAATGTATAGTTACTCCAGAAAGCACATTTAGTCTTTCTGCAACAAGAAGTAAATGGAATCTATAAAGAAACGTTATTGCTCATTTTAAATTTGTTGTTAATTTTTTTTTATTTAAAGCAATACTTCATTGTCTTAAATTTTTATATTTTTGGAATTAAAAAAAAAACATTTTAACTCTTGTTTTATGAGCCAAAGTTAGGGTTGGGGACTCACCTTCATCCCCGGCAGACCAGGCATTCCCTGCGGTCCAGCTGGACATGTTGTCTGGCACTGCTAACAAAATGAGACACACAAATACATTAGGTCTATTCATCATCAACTGTAGGACCAGACAGGAAGTGAAGAATAACACACAACCAGCCTGTAGCTCACTAGAGACATACAAACCAAGTACTGACGATTTCAGATGAGGGAGCACAACAGACACGGCAGCCAACTGTCAACTCTTTTCATGAGCAAATGACAAATTATTATGGCTGGGTATTGAGATATATTTCACAGTTTGATTACATTTCTATGCACAAGCTTGCGATTCAATTCAGTTTTGATCTCAAATCAATTTGATTCAATTTAGAATCATTTAGATATATTGCCAATCATGTACAGTACAGGTTAAT